TAAAATGATTTTTAATTGTGCTTAGGTTGGCCATTATCTTTGTGTTGCAAAGGTTGACATGATGCATTTTGAAGTCCTCAGCACAGTATTTAGTGTGTAGAAAGCAGACACAACCATTAGATTGAGCTATATCACGTAACAGAAGCAATTTAGTCTGTAGGGACAGAAAGATGTTCAGTAAAAGAGGAAAACTGTATTGGTAGGCTTCCTCAGCACCAGAAGCCAGTAGAGGATGGGTAGAGCTATCTGGTAGGCAGTTGGGAACTGTTCTTGTTGGGAGGGGAGTTTGCCTTGAAGTAGTGAGATTTCACCTGTGGGTTTCTAGTCTGGAGGGTGGGTACCAAGTGTGGAAGCAAAGGAGCTGGCTCCTTAGCACTGGGGTCCTCTCTTCTATAGCCCAACTGATGAAAAACACTGGTGTGATCCTTGCCAATGATGCCAATGCTGTGCGGCTAAAGAGTGTTGTGGGTAACCTGCACCGGCTGGGAGTCACTAACACCATCATTAGCCACTATGATGGACGCCAGTTCCCCAAGGTGGGATTTTCCTTCTGTGTGTCTTTCCTGAGGCTTCTAATTTACCTTTCTCTTCTTGACAATGTTTAGACCCATCCTTGGGAAATAAATGGTACACTGCAAATTGCAAAATACATCTAATTTACTCCCTCTTTTGTCTAGGTGGTTGGGGGCTTTGACAGAGTATTGCTGGATGCTCCCTGTAGTGGCACTGGGGTCATCTCTAAGGATCCAGCTGTGAAGACTAACAAGGTGAGAAGTTGGGTAATTTTAGAGAGGAGTACAAGGTCAAGGAGCACCCTAGGCAGGTAGTATCTCACTTTTCTTGATAGCCTTATGAAATTCCCTCAACCCTGGGTCTTTTTGGGACAGGATGAGAAGGACATCCTGCGCTGTGCTCACCTTCAGAAAGAGTTACTCCTGAGTGCTATTGACTCTGTCAATGCCACTTCTAAGACAGGAGGCTACCTCGTCTACTGCACCTGTTCTATTATGGTGAGGCCTCTGCTGCGGCAGAGCGAGGGAGGGCAAGGGCTGGGAGTTTGTATGGCCATAAGAGCTCCCTTCAGCTCCAGCTCTGTTTATTCCTTCTTGCTGACTTTCTGTCTTCCCCACACGTCCAGGTGGAAGAGAATGAGTGGGTAGTAGACTATGCCCTGAAAAAGAGAAATGTGAGGCTTGTGCCCACTGGTCTGGACTTTGGCCAGGAAGGTTTTACCCGTTTTCGAGAAAGGCGTTTCCATCCCACTCTGCGTTCCACCCGACGATTTTACCCTCATACCCACAATATGGATGGTTTCTTTATTGCCAAGTTCAAGAAATTCTCCAATTCTATCCCTCAGTCCCAAACAGGTAAATGATCTGTTCTTTGTCCAGTTCTTTTCCTGCTTTTGCTCTTTCTACCTTTCTGGAAGCCTTCTGGTGTGACTGTAGGGAAGGGAAAGATTGAGGCTTGCTTTTCTCAGTCTTTGCATGCTTGGATTTGGAACCCCATTTTGATGGGCTTTGGTGTTCACATAGACGGGGAACTTTTCCTTTATTCTACCAAGTGGCTACAGTGGTTCAGCACTAATGGATTCCAGTTTCAGGTTGTGGTTTTTCTATTTTTCTTGGCCCAAGGTTGACTTGTGTTAATGTATCTCTGCTGCTCTAGCATTCTCAGCACTGGTTTGGCACAGGACTCTACGGAACTATCAGCATTTCTCTGAGCCTATCCCACTAATTGCAGATTGTTTCCTCAGCCATCTGGAGGAGGCTGTCTGCATCTCAAGGGGAAGGGTGGGGTTTTATTTTTGAAACAGGCTTGAGAGCTCTGCATGCTGGGATATAAACCTGAGTTTATTTGGAAGACAGAAGAACTTCTTCAAATAAAAACTGATTTGAATTGATATCCGATACACCCCTAGACCTCTTTTTTTTTTTTTTTAATCCTTAATTAATAATGCCTCTTGCCAGGCAAGGTGGCACATATCTGTAATCCCAGCAATTTGGAGGCTGAGGTAGGAGGATCACAAGTTCGAAGCCAGACTTAGAAATTTATCGAGGCCCTAATCAATTTAGTGAGACACTGTCTCAAAATAAAAAGGACTAGGGATCTGGCTCAGTGGTTATAAAGTGTCTTGCAAAACTCTCATCAGAATATCAACATAGCCTGGCATGGTGGTACAATCTTGTACTCCCAGTGAGTTCGAAGGCTGAGACAGGAAGATCCTGAGTTTGAGGCTAGCCTTGGCAACTTAGTGAGACCCTGCCTCAAAGTAAAAAGCAAGGTTGCCAGGTGCAGTGGTGCACACCTTTAATCCCAAGGGCTTGGTAGGAGGATTGTAAATTCAAAGCCACCTTCAACAGTTTAGTGAGACCCTGTCTCAAAAATAAAAAGGACTGGGATATATAGCTCAGTTGGTAGAATGCTTGCCTTGTATATATATATATGTACAAGGTCCTGGATTCAGTCCCCAGTACTGAAAAATAGGGGTGGTTGTAGTGCTGGGATGTGGCTCAGTGGTTAAGAGTCCTTGGGTTCAAGTCCTAATACTGCAAAAAACCAAAATGTTAATAGCAACTTTTGTTGTAACTTAAGTGTATTTTTAATATGTCTTTGTTGTTGTCTTACTAGCTTGTTTCTTGTTGTGTAGGTGTAGCTTATTTTCTGCCATTTCATCAAAATCCACATTGATAAATTTTTTTTTTCTGGGATTAAAAAAGCCTAGGGCTTCTGGTTTATCTGAATCTGGAGATCCTGGGACTCATCACCACATCAAGAGGTCTTGTTACCTGCTGTCCTCAAGGGGGCACAGCTTCTTACAAAAAAATCTTTAGCCTAAGGATAGGCTTCTTTTTTTTTTCTTTTTCTTTTAAAAAATATTTATTTTTTAGTTGTAAGTGGATACAGTACCTTTATTTTATTTATTTATTTTTATGTAGTGCCGAGAATCGAACCCAGAGCCTCACACATTCCCAGCAAGTGTGCTACCACTAAGCCATAGCCCCAGCACTTTTAAAAAATCATTTATTTTTTAGTTGTAGGTGATTATAATACTTTTATTTATTTATTTATTTATATGTGGTGCTGAGGATTGAACCCAGGGCCTCGTACGTGCTAGGTGAGCGCTCTACCACTGAGTCACAACCCCACCCCCTAGGATGGGTTTCTCTTAATACAAGGTTCATGTAGGACTTGAGTAAGAATGATGTGAATCTAGGTAGTCAGTTCTTAGGCACCATCCCTAACTGTGGCTCCACATTGACTAAGAGTTGGCAATCTATGTTTTAATAACTTGTTCTTATTTTTATTTTATTTTTGGCATTAGGGGTTGAAACCAGGGGTTCAACCACTGAATCCCAGACCTTTTTTTTTTTTCCCCCTAAATTTTGAGGTGAGCTCTGGCTAAATTGCTTAGGGGTAAGTTGCTGGGCTGGCATTAAACTCGCAATCCTGCCTTATCCTCTGGAGCTGCTGAGATAACAGGCATGTGTCACCATGCCCATCTCTACTCTTTACTTCTTCTTTCTTTCTTTCTTTCTTTTTTTTTTTATATATTCTTTTTAGGTGTAGATGGACACAACACAATGCCTTTATTTTTATGTGGTTCTGAGGATCGAACCCACGTCCTGCCCGTGCGAGGCTAGTGCTCTACCTCTGAGCCACAATCCCAGCGCTACTCTTTAGTTCTTAAATGACCAATATCATTTAAGATGAGGCCCATTTTCTCAACCTGTCTGTTTAATTTTAACCCCAGGAAATTCTGCAACAGCCACTCCTGTAGACCTAGACTTGCCTGACCCAAAGAGTCAGGTTACTCCCAAGTCTGAGAAGAACAGCCAACCAGCCAAGAAAGCCAAAAGGGCTGCAAAGGCAAAGCAGTTCCAGAAACGGCAGCATCCCAAGAACACCTCTGCACAGAAGCTGAATGGTATCACCAAAGGCACAGTCTCAGAAGTGTCCACTGTACCTTCTGTCACAAAGGCCCAAGCTTCCTCCAGGCTCCCAGATAGCACTCGGCCTGCTGGAAAAGTTGAAGTGATCAGGAAACCAAAGGTGATTGGGAGGCTAAGGCAACAGGCACCTAAGTTGCACTCCTCTAAGAAAGCTGCCTTCCTGAAGCAGAATGCCCCTCCCAAAAGCATGGACACAGAATCACCTGTTACACTGTCCCTTTCTCAGACTCAGGCTACCCCCAGACTTAAGGACACTGATCAGCCCCTTGGAAAAGTAAAAGGGGCCGAGAAGGTAAAGCAGCCTTTCAAGAAAGCTACCTTTCAGAAGGAGAATGGTACCCCCAAGGGATCTCAGATCCCTACTGTGACTCCCCTCAATTCTGTCCAGCCCCCACCAGCAAAGAGGAGGAAAACTGTGCCTAAGGGCAATAGCCAGCCACTGCTGGCTTAGGTGGATGTTGAAGACTGGACTGGGCTTGGCTCACTGGCATTGCCAGTGGTTGGAACTGTTTGTCTACAAGGTTGCTTGCACATTGTGCAATTTTATTGTGCATACACATGAAATTTAATATACATTTTACCACCTCTGACTCCGGTTGCTTTTTTTGTGTGTGTGTTTTTGAGGGGACTGGTTATGGCAGCTGGAGGGAGGGTGGGTCTGGGATCCAAAGGGAAAAAACAGTTGGGAGATATTAGTTAAGATACCAGGTCAGTTTCGGGATCCTGCTCTTTTCATCTTAACGGGGAAGGAGAGCTTTGGAGTCAAGAACTAGGGTATTTGAGGAGAGCAACAGGGTTGTAGGAAAGAAGTTCTTCCTGCCACCAGAACTCAGGACCTATTGACTATCCTGAACTCTAAGCACCTCCTGTCTGAATTTCAGTGAGGGAAGAGCTGGTCCACAAGCTTCAGAAAGGTCCTCCTCGGGCTCATCTTCCAGTGTGAGGCATTCATTGGCTTCTTTTGTGCCCGCCCCCTCGACCTCTGCTCCCTTGCCATGCCGTATGATTGGTCGCTTGTGTTCCGCAGGCGCTTCATTGGCTCTTCTCGCTCGCTCTCCATTCCAGCCCCTGCACAGGTTTCCATCTCCCAGCAGAAGGCGCAGCCATGAATCCGTTATTCGGCCCCAACCTCTTCCTCCTACAGCAGGAGCAGCAGGGCCTGGCTGGGCCCCTGGGGGATCCCCTTGGAAGTGACCACTTCACAGGGGGAGGGGACTTACCCACAGCGCCGCTTGCCCCCGCTGGCCCCTCAGCCTACTCGCCGCCGGGCCCTGGCCCGGGCCCGTCACCCCCTGCCGCCATGGCACTCCGCAACGACCTGGGCTCCAACATCAACGTGCTCAAGACCCTGAACCTCCGGTTCCGATGTTTCCTGGCCAAGGTGCACGAGCTGGAGCGCCGGAACCGGCTGCTGGAGAAGCAGCTGCAGCAGGCGTTGGAGGAGGGTAAGCAGGGCCGTCGGGGCCTGGCTCGCCGCGACCAGGCCGTGCAAACTGGCTTCATCAGTCCCATCCGGCCCCTGGGTCTGCCCCTGGGCGCCCGGCCGGCCGCGGTCTGCCCCCCGTCGGCGCGAGTGCTGGGCTCGCCCGCGCGCTCACCAGCCGGTCCCCTCGCGCCCTCCTCGGCCTGCCACTCGTCGCCCTCCACCTCCACCTCCACTGCCTTCTCCTCGTCGGCCCGCTTCATGCCCGGCACAATCTGGTCCTTCTCGCACGCCCGCCGGCTGGGGCCAGGACTGGAGCCCACGCTGGTGCAAGGGCCTGGCCTGTCGTGGGTGCACCCTGATGGGGTGGGCGTCCAGATCGACACCATCACCCCGGAGATCCGCGCACTCTACAACGTGTTGGCCAAAGTGAAGCGAGAGCGGGATGAGTACAAGAGGAGGTAGGGACCGGGAAGGTGGGGATAGGGCTCAGTGTCATGACACTTACAAGGGGTCTGTGAATTGTGGGTTCCCAGACCAGGGCAATGGAGGCCCAAGAATCACTATGAATAGTATAACAGTAGTTTATTGCCTTCTATGAGGAGCTTTGGAAGGAATTAGATTCAGTGAGCCTAGAATCCACAGAGAATGCAGAAGTCAGACTCGTGACAAGAAGCATACTAGGAACAGAACACTGGAAAATTCATATTTTTCTCCTGTCATATCTCCCTGTCTCATGCAGGCTACAGTTGGTTCAGATGACTGTGTTAATTATAAAGGTTTTTGAGATACTACACGGACACCATTTGAGAGGGTATTGCATGTGGGGTCTGATTGCCTTACAATCTTCAGTTCTTGAGTTGGAAGATAAATTCCACCCACTGATCAAAATTAGGAGGCAAAGAATATAGTTTTAAATTGGTAGGTTAATTAAGTGAAATTGGAAGGGGTAGAGGCTCACTGAGGGAAGGTCTGCACCCTTCATTGTGATCCTGTTACTATCCAGGGTTTCCCCAAGGAATGTTCATGGAAACCAGATTCCATACAAAAGGTTCCAAAGACCCCAAGGCATTGCTTGGAGCAGGTTAAAAAAAAATGGGAAAAGGAAGAGTAAAGGGAATTCCATAAGGTAAGGGCAAGGGATTGGTAGTTGCCATAGGGCTGGTGGTGAACTCTGGTGAAGGAAGTATGAGCAGAGTAAGCAAAGGGACTGAGTAAGGAAAAGTTAGAATATGGACACACCCTACAGCTGTAAGACAACTCAGGGCACGCCTAGTGTGTTCTGAGGATGAAGATTTGGCTTTCTGAGAGGAACCCTGCCCCAGTAGGGTAGTACAGGGATGAGGGGAAGGGAGGTGATACCACAGTGTTGGCTGTATACTAGTTGGATTCCTTAGATGGTTGGTAACCAGGCTGATGCAACAGGAGCATAGGCTGAGCCAGTACTTTGGTTGGGGACTCTACTCCTTTCTGAGCTATTGGGGCTCCTTGTGGGTAGGTTGGGGGACTACCTTTGTTGCCCAGTGTAGCAGGAATTGTCATATGGTTTAGGTCTGGGTAAGGAGTGGCTAAATGTTCTGGGAAATTACCATTGGGTCTGGGGCTGACTTTCAGGGACTGGGAACCTGCTGGAGTCTACCATATCACAGATCAGCAGACTTTCTGAGGCTGTCCTGTTTCATGTTGGCTTCATTAGTTGTTGTCCATGTTATTATTGTCCTTGGGGGTTTCAGTTGTCCTAAAACCATCATCCAGGTGCCACCCAGAACCAGCCTGCTCCTGCCCTTGCAGGAGTTAATTAACACAGTCACCCATCAGTGGAACATGGACAGTTCTGGACTATATCCATTACCACAGAACAACTGCTCTTCTCAGGGGCGTATTTTTTTTTTTTTAATAACTGAAAAAGTATTTATCCTTGGACCAGCTGTCCAGGGCAGCAAAGAGTTATTCCTTGGGGATTGATTAGCTCATCATTTTGCAGCATGTTGCTGTGCAGAGGGCCTCATAGCTAGAATTGTATGGTACGTGACACGGGCAGTACTCATTCTTCCACCCCAGATCCCCTGCCCTCATTCTGGTCTCTTTATAGCAACACTGTACCTCCTGTCTTTAGTGCAGAAGGCATGGGGATAGCTTTAGTATTAAACTGGGATGAAGCCAAGGCCTCCTGGGCTCTATTTTCAGTTCCCCTGCCTTATTTGACCTTTCTCCTGGGCCTCAGTTTTTCCAATACAGGAATGCCCCCTGCTTCAGATCAAGGCTACAATCTATTTGTAGGAGAAATATGTGATAAATGCAGAATACACAAAAATTGCTCCGATCCTACCCACAGTAAGAGAAGCTTGTAAAAGATATTTGAATGGAGGTCAAAAAGTCTGGCTCAAAAGCAAATAGAATCCTAGCAAACTTCCAGATGATTCATTTTTCAGACTTCTTACCCTTTGAGACTTCATTAATCTTCATCTTTTTTTGTTTGTTAATTTATTTATTTTTATGTGGTGCTAAGGATCAAACTTAGTGCCTCACACATGCTAGGCAAGTGCCCCACCACTGAGCTGCAGCCCCAGCCCCTAATCTTCATCTTTAATTAACTTCTTTACTTGTTTCCACCTGAGTTTTTTGAATTCACTGTCAAACAGTACAGCTTGTCCTCCTTGATACATTCTGTCCAGGGTTGCCGGTCCTTGTAAATCTTGCTAGCTTTCTCTAGGGATTCAAGGATTCATAAGGATGTTATCTCCCACGCCTTCATGTTGCAAATGAAGAATCCAGAAAAGATAAGGGTCTTATATAAGAAAATAAATAGCCTGATGTTATCAGGGCTCTTCAATGCCAGAGCAAAAGGACATGTGAGGGGCTAGCGAGGAAAGCCAGGAGCTGGGCTGCATGATGAACCAGCAGTGTGGTGGCCAGGCTGATTGCCTATTCTGCCAACCCAACTGGGAGGGGCAGCCGAGGTGATGCAGGAGTTATTATTAGGCATACTGCAGTGCGGTTATGATGTGGAACACAGGCAAGCAAGGAGACACGGGACCAGAGAGGGCAAGAAAGCAGAAATGATGGAGGGAAGGGATAGGAAGGGCTCACTCCTGAATACAGAAATAGTTCTCTGGGATTTTAGTGTCCTTGCTGTCCTCTTGGCTGCTTCCTCACCTTCTTCTTTTCTTCTTTTTTTTTTTAAATATATTTTTAGTTGATGATGGACCTTTATTTTACTTATTTATATGTGGTCCTGAGAACTGAACCCAGTGCCTCACATGTGCCAGGCAGGCTCTCTACTACTGATCTACAACCCCAGCTCATCACCTTCTTTCTTATGTTGAGGTTTTTCTCAGTGCAGTTTGCCACTTTTCTCAGACTAAAAGAAGGCTTTTCAGATTGTGTCAAGAAGTAATGAGTTTATATGAACAGGATTTGAGATATGTTGCTATTCCAACCAATTCTGTGGGGTTTTGAACTGACAGGGCCAAATCCTAGTGCTGGCCTCCATTCCACTTCTGTCTCTGTGATGGAATAAGACATGTAGTCCTAGGAAGTGCCTTAATGCCCTGCCCTGTGGCCAGGAGTGTCTTCCACCCTCCTTATGGTCTTCCTCTGACTTCTGGGTAATGGGAGGTGCTACTTCTGGCTTTCATGCCCCCACTGCCGAGGTACAGGTTTGGGTGTATGGTAATCATTGACTTCTCACATCCACTGCTTGTGTGCTACTGGGGGACTTTGAGCTTCAGGGCCAGCCCTGTCATCTCTCTGTGGCTTCCTTCCAGGGGTTTTGGGTGGGGGAAGAACTTGAGTGTCTCCCACCAGGCTCCTGAGCAGCTCTGTTGATATAGCCTGTGTCTCGCAGATGCTTTCACAGGGTTAAATGGTCCCACAGGAGGCAGGGCAGCGGGCTAGACGAGCTCTGTTCTGGTGCGGGCAGGAGGCAGGAGACCGGATCTGTGCCACTGAAGGTGGGAGACAGGGCTGGGTGGGCCTGGTGGTCTGGTGTGGGCAGGAGGTGGGTGATGAGGCTGGCTCGACAGCTGGGGAGCTGGGGCCTTCTGGGGATCGCCCTGCAAGGAGTCAGAGCAGGGGCAGATACTCTTAACCATAGTTTCTGGTGTGCGGCCTGGAGATTCTGGGAAGGCAGCTGGTGAGCTTGGTCCTTGCCAGGAAATGTGGAGCTGCCTGACAGCTGCAGCTGGCCACCAACTGACTGGCTACACATTCCTGTAAATCCCCATGTAGGGGTCCCGACCTGGGGTCTGGGCCAGAGAGGCTGGGAGAGGGAACTGTAGGGGCAGGAGGGACTCTGAACCTATGTTTTCTGTCTCTTCCCAATATCTGTCAGGTGGGAAGAGGAATACACAGTGCGGATACAGCTGCAGGAGCGAGTTTCTGAGCTCCAGGAGGTGAGGGTGGCTACCCGACTGCTACTGCTTCCCTCAACCTGGTGCCATTTCCTTGTCCCTTCTTGTTGTGTTTACCCTTTTCTCTTATTGGCAGTACACTAATGTTCAGTGTTTCCTCTCTACCATAGGAAGCCCAAGAGGCTGATGCCTGCCAAGAGGAGCTAGCCATGAAGGTGGAACAGTTGAAAGCTGAGTTGGTCGTTTTCAAGGGGCTCATGAGTAATGTGAGTTCAGCCTGTCACATTTGGGCCCTGCTGGGATACTCAGGCAGCTGGAACCAGGAAGGGTGACCTTACTGGCCTGTTGCTGCCCCGTCTGCCATTCCTCCCCTCACTTTGCTGTCCCTTTGGCTTTCCCGGGCCTTGATACCCTCTAATTAGATACAAAGATACAAAGAAGGAACAAAAGCCTTACATCCTGTCAGAGAGGCAGGATGGCCTGGTCATTTCTGGAGTTTGTTGGTAGTAAGAGTGAGCACAGCCTCTGGAGCCAGCTTGTCTGGGTTCTGATGCTGGCTCTACACCTTGTCAATGGTATGGCTGTGAGTCAGTTCCTTTACCTCCAAGTCCTCCTCAGCCTCCATAGCCTCATCCGTGGAATGGAGAAAATAAAAGTGTGTGCTTTGCAGGATTATCATGAAGATTTCAATGTATTTGGGACAGTATCTGGCATATGCTTAAATGCTAAATGAGCATAGCTGTTATTACAGTACTTTCTCCACTCCACCCTTTATTTCTTTATTTATTTTTTCAGTATTAATGATTGAACCCAGGATCTTGTACATGTTATTCAAGTGTTCTACCACTGAGTTACACCTTAGCCCTTTTTGTTTTTATTTTGAGATGGGGTCTTGCTAAGTTGCCCAGGCTGGCCTCAAACTTATTTGAACCCATGGCCCTGTATATGCTTGGCAAGTGCTCTACCACTGAGCTATATCCTCAGCCAGTCAAACTTGTGGTTCTCTTGCCTTAGCCTCCTGGGATTGCAGTTGTGTGCCACCATGCTTGGTACCTTCTTCACTTATAATTCCCAGTGGTCTCCTTTCCCTCTGGTAATGTAAGTTCCAGGAGGGTTAGGACTATGATTGATTCCAGGGAATCCCTGTCTGTACCAGATTCTGGGCCATGCCCTTCAGAGAGCTCATTTGACCAGAGAGCCAGTCGCATGATGGTCCCAGTGTATGCTATGAGGAGGGGCCCCCTGGAAAAAGGTGTTCTGCCCAGGGGTTAAGAACTTCATGGACAATGGTGTGATGAGAAGGATGAGGCTTTTGCTAAGCCACTAGGGGTACTTGCTACCTCCTCACTGTTCCTTATGTTCTCTGGACAGAACCTGTCAGAGCTGGACACCAAAATCCAGGAAAAGGCCATGAAGGTAGATATGGACATCTGCCGCCGCATTGACATCACCGCCAAACTGTGTGATGTGGCTCAGCAGCGCAACTGTGAGGACATGATTCAGATGTTCCAGGTGAGGGGCCAGGCTATCATCAGCCAGTAGGAATGGGCGGGCGGATGAAAGAGCTTCCATTGTGGCTGGCCTGTAGCTCAGGCTCTGCCCCCTTCCCGGGGAGCCTTGTCCTAGTACCAGGGCCCTCAGTGGGACTAAGCTGGGGGGCAAGGGACAGCCTCAGGAGAGGTTTTGGAAGCTGTCTCTAACGCCATCTCCCCCCTCCCTCTCTCTCTCTCCTCTGTCTGCTTCTCTCCTCTCTCTTCCTTTCATCTTTTCTTGCTTTCTCCATAGAAGAAGCTGGTTAGTTTGCTTTCATGCAAGTTTATTAATGTCCCAGTCCCAGTCTCTGAACCACACAGGTCCTTTGGCCATTGATTTTGACCCAATAGGCTCTTCAGCACAGATTTCTTCTTCCCTTTCTGTTTTCCTTGCTCTTCTTGTTTTCAATCCTTTTTCTCTTACTTCATTTCTTTCTCTCTTTTTTTCCACTGGCCTTCTAGATCTGGATGCGAGTCAAGTTCTCCTTTGTAAATACTAAATCCTCCTCTTTGCAGCTTAAATTTTTATTTTTATTTGTTTATTTTGTAGTACTGGGGATTACACCCATATACCCCGCCCCCAAACTAAAACTTTTTTTTTTTTATTTGAGTCATTTCATCAGGAAGTTTTTAGTTTTTAGAAAAAAAAAATAGTTCCTCTTTAGCCATTAGACACATCTCAACGTGTTCACAACAAGCCATTTCTGTCCTTATCTTACTGCTCTATTTTCTCTATTTCTTCTTTTTCCTTCTCAGTCTTCAGGCTTGCCTCATCTGTGTGTGTCTGCCTGTCTCTTGGTGACTCTCTGTTTCTGTCATTGTAACTGTGTCTTTTCTCTCTGTCTGCCCCACCCTTCCTTTCCTGCTGGTTCGTGCTGCTCCTCCTGTCCCACCCCCTGCCCGCTGCCTGGCCTCCCCCTCCTGCCCTTTCTCCTCATGCACCCGGCCTCGTCTCTGTAGTCTCTGCACTTGTCTCCCATTAAGGTCCCATCCATGGGGGGGCGGAAGCGGGAGCGCAAGGCTGCTGTCGAGGAGGACACCTCCCTGTTGGAGAGTGATGGGCCCCGCCAGCCCGATGGGGATGAGGAGGAAAGCACAGCCCTCAGCATCAACGAGGAGATGCAGCGCATGCTCAACCAGCTGTGAGTCCTGCAGGCCTGTCCTTATCCTTGCCCCCACACCAGAACCATCCCGAGGCCGGAGCTCCCCACAGTCTCCTTTTCTGGACAAGGCCCCACTGCCCTTGACACATGGGTTCCCTGTCTCTAGGAGGGAGTATGATTTTGAGGACGACTGTGACAGCCTGACTTGGGAGGAGACTGAGGAGACCCTGCTGCTGTGGGAGGATTTCTCAGGCTATGCCATGGCAGCCGCAGAGGCCCAGGGAGAGGTAACCACCCCTCCCGGCCTCAGGGCCCCTCAGCTGTGCCTTTCCTGATGCCCTGCCTCTTCCTTTCCTCATTCCTCGCTCTACTCCCTTTGTGGCCTTCATCCTTTCCCTGTGTCTCCCTTCTTCCTTTATCCTTTTCTTTCCTCTTTCCAGTTTCCTCTAACCTGACTTTCTCTCTCTCCCTGCCTTGACCCTGTGGAATGCTCTCCACCCATCCTTACCTGGTTGGCCTCCCCTTGCTTCCCCTTTTCCTCCAGCAGCAGGAAGACAGCCTGGAGAAGGTGATTAAAGATACTGAGTCCTTGTTTAAAACCCGGGAAAAAGAATATCAGGAAACCATTGACCAGATAGAGGTAAGGACATGCAGGGCCTGTGCTCCAGGGATTTGCAGGGCTGCAGGTGTGTGGGGGGGTCCCTCAATGTGGGCCTTAGAGTCCAGAGACTTCACTTTCTGTTATCTCTTGGCTGTGGTACCTCTGGTGGGTCCTTGAGATCCCATGCTCTGGAGGCGGACATGTGGGTTCAAACCTTGGCTCTATCACTTTTTACCACTCAACTTTGAACAAGATACTTGTTCTCTTTGAGCCTGTTTTCTTTGTCAAATGGGGATCCAAATAATCCTACCCCCACAGGGTGGTTTGGAAGAATAAATGAAGCAGTTAATCCACACATGGAACTCAGGGCAGGTCTGCTGTCGTGAGGACACCACAGTGGCCTTTGATTTGGTTATCATCAGCACTGTCAATGCCGTAGCACTCAGATATGGCTCTTCTGCCTCCTCCTCCATCATTCCATAGCCCTGGGGACCCCTGTAGAGATGGTTGTTGAAGCTGGTGCTTCAAGATTCCAACTTTCAGGATTGTGGTGCCACAGGATAGAGGTTGCCATTCTGTAGAGGAGAATGATTGGATGGGACTCCCACGAGCGTCCTGTCCAAGTGTGTAATGGCCCTTGCCTGGATACTGCGGTGGGGCAAGACAGGTAGACTTCCAGCTCAACCTCTCTTCAAGTCCTTGTGGCATGTCATTCCTGTTGTGCTCGCTCTGCCTGCATTTTGAGAAGGAAGTTAAGAAATTGTTTTCCTACATCCTCATTCTCTCACTACACATCAAACAGTCCTGATTCTTGAAGTAAAAAAAAAAATTTTTTTTCAGCTTTTAATTTTGGCCCAGGCAGAAAAATGCTGCTTGAAAGTCACAGCCAGAGTTTTGCTACTAAGGCCATGGTGGGGAGAACTGATCTCCACTCTTCTGAGTATGCCTTGCTATTTCTTCCTTCTCTCCCTACCTCTTTTGGATGATAGGCTTCAACATATCCAACCAGGCAGGGGTCTTAACTGCAGTGATCTGCAGCTGCCATCTGTTTGGCTGGACCCTTAACCAGAAGTGTCTAGTTGAAAATATGACCTAGTAAGAAAGAGAAGAATATCCTAAGAGAAGCATGCCTTTTAAGCTGTTCCTGAGTCATCTTACAGCAGAAGGACAGGAGGGGCAAGTCTGGCCAAGCTGACTTGGTGGCTTTGGTTGCAACGTTGCCCCTGGTGATCCACCTATAGCTTCTGAAGTGCCTTTATCTTTGCAGCCTTTGATCTCAGGGCCAGTTTCATTATTTGATGGTAAAGCCAGGGCCCAGGATGGTAGGTGGGAGGGAGTTTTTTCTTCTGTACCCTCTGGCTTTCTCCACCTGTCTCATCCTTACCACCCCTACCCCCCTGCCTCTGGTCACACACACCTATTCTGGAGATTGCTTGTTATTTATTTATTTAACTATTTATTTATTTATTTTTAGTTGTCAATGAACCTTAGAGGGACATACAAAAATGTAGAGACTACTTCTAGCAGTACTAGCCTTGTATTTTGGTAGAATATTTTTGTTTCACCTCCTTCTTCCCTCCCTTTTTTTTTTTTTTAAAGAGAGAGTGAGAGAGAGAGAGGGAGAGAGAGAGAATTTTTAATATTTATTTTTTAGTTCTCGGTAGACACAACATCTTTGTATGTGGTGCTGAGGATCGAACCAGGCCGCACGCATGGCAGGCGAGCGCGCTACCGCTTGAGCCACATCCCCAGCCCATCTTCCCTCCCTTTCTTGTGATGGATTTTAGCCTCTGCCTCGGCTTCCTGAGGAGGAAGAGCTGGGTAGAGGTGGCGGCTGATCTGAAGGAGAGTTTCAGCATCATGTTCTCCTAGGTGGAACAGTTAGTACATCTTGCTCCTCTTGCTACTGTGCCTTTCATGCCATCCTCACTAGGGCTTCCAACCCACCAGCCACCATCTCACCCCAAATGGCACTCTCTGCTGTCCCTTTTGTCTGGCCCTGTGACCCATTTCCTCCTTTCTTCCAGTTCTCATCCTCTTTTCATCCAACTCAGATTAGTATGGGTGGCTTCTGCTCTGTGCAAATCACATTCTTCACGGGCCCTTTCCTTCTCTTTCTCTTTGCTTTCCAACAGTCAAGCCAATCACCTCCAAGAAGTTTGATTCCTGTCCCCTTGTGGCCCCCTGGCCTTTGTACCCCAAACAAAGGCAGCCAGATTGTCTCTGGCCCAGATTCTTCTCTGCTTGGCCCCACCTCTCACTGCCTCACAGTCAGATTCTGTCTGCAGATTTGAGTTCTGGGAAGAAGACCATCTTCCCTTGATTCCAAGCCTCTCATTTTCCCACTTAGAATGATTCTGAAGTCAGGTTATATCTTATAATTGGTAGGACATTCAGTGTGGCAGTCTTTCTTTTCAGTGTCTGGAAATAAGAGAGAAGTAAAATAAGGAGGAGAAAATGGTAAGAGAATTGAGCCTCTTTGAATAAATAGCACAGTCAGGTTTTCCTCCTATTTGTTGTGAATCTTACAGATACTTCACTGAGTTGATTAATTCTCATTGAGGGAGTGCTGGACACACAGACATGAGTAAGACCCTTGAAAGCCTTCAAAGGAGCTACAAGTTAGTAAGGGAGGTTGGCTAGAGCCAGCATCACACAGGAAATGTGGGGTGAGCTGAGCTCTGTGGGAACCCCAGGGAGGGAACAAGGGCATCCACAGGTGGCTGCCCCCAAGCAGTTTAGAATGTTGATCCCTATTCCTGCCCACGTTGACATTCCTTTTCTCTTTGCTCATATCTATCTTTTAAAAGCATGGAGGCCTGGCTGAGGTTGTGGCTCAGTGGTAGAGCGCTTGCTTCACATGTGTGAGGCACTGGGTTTGATTCTCAGCACTGCCTATAAATAAATGAATAAAATAAAGTTCAACAACTACTAAAAAATAAAAATAAAAAAAAGAAGAAGAAGAATGTAGGCCTAAGCAGAGATTCCTGAGAAAAGGATTGTTTGGTGGGGGTGGGTGGAATACTGTTTGGTGATAGAGCACTTGCCTAGCATTTGTGTGTGAGGCCCTGGGTTCCATTTCCTGCACCATGGGAAAAAAAAAAAAGAAAAAAGTTCTGAGGAAACTATTGTATAGTTTGGTGCTTTCTGTCTCCATCTGATTTTTAATTTTTTGAAAGTGGTTGAATCATTCTCTGTCTTTAAAAAAATTTTTTTTGTAGTTGTAGATGGAAGAATGCCTTTATTTTATTTGTTTTTATGTGGTGCTGAGGATTGAACCCAGTGCCTCATGTATGCCAGGCAAGCGCTCTGCCACAGGGCTACAGTTACAGCCCCATCTGATTTCTTTTTAAATCTGAGCCTTCAACCATGGCTTCCTGGATCCCTGGTCCAGCTGGTGCTCTTGGCATGTTAGCCTCCTGATCAAGGGAGCAGAGGTACTATTGCCCTGTGCCTGCTAACTCTGGTGGCCCTGTCCTGCCCCATCACAGCTGGAATTGGCGACAGCGAAGAACGACATGAACCGGCACCTGCATGAGTACATGGAGATGTGCAGCATGAAGCGGGGCCTGGATGTGCAGATGGAGACCTGCCGCCGGCTCATCACCCAGTCTGGAGACCGGTAAGGGCTTACTTGGAGTGTAGGGCCTGCCTGCTCTTCTGAGTACCTGTCTTCCAGGGTGATGCAGGAAAGGAGTGGGGGAGCAGAGCCTTCTGACCAGCAGGCCCTAAATACCCTTGGGTAGTACCTACTTTTTTTTTTTTTTTTTTAAATACCTTTATTTATTTATTTTTATGTGGTGTTGATTATCAAACCCAGTGTCTCACATATGCTAGGCAAGTGCTCTACCACTGATCTACAACTGCAGCCCAGTATCTGGTTACTTTTGATGTGGGGCTGTCTTTTCCGAGTCTCCTGGTATATCTGGCCCAGATGGACAGCTTTTTCTTCCTCCCTTCAGTACCCCCTCTAGGGGTTTCACTGGTTAGACACAGCTTAAAAACTAGCAATGTACACAGAGGGATGTGGGGTGGCAGATTTTTACCTAAGGTCAAAGCCACGATTTGTGCATTTGATTGACCTTGTCTGTATAAGTTATGCCTTACAAAAGAGTAAATTTTAACAAACCATAAAAATTCTACAAATAAGCTGGGTGCACTAGTGTTTATCTGTAGTCCCAGTGACTCCAGAGACTGAGGTAGAAGATTGCTTGAACCTAGGAGTTTGAGGAGAGTTTGGGCAACATAGTAAGACACTGTCTCAGAAAAACAAAAACAAAAATGTCAAACAAATTGCAGGGCTAGGGATGTGGCTTAGTAGAATACTTGCCTAGCATGCATGAGACTTTGGGTTGAATTCTCAGCACAACGAAAACAAAACAAATTACATATATACATAAAGCGGGGTACCTAAGGTTAGTATACTCAATTGGCATCTCTTATTTTTTTTAAGGTTTGAATTATATGCATACATATATATCTCAGGTGACATCCTTATGCTGTGATTTCAGACATTTCTGACTGCTGAAACTCTCAGAGCCCGTAAGATAAAAAGCAGGGACCATTTCCCCCATCAGGGCAGTGTGGGAGAGGATTCTTTCTCTCCTCCCCACATCCCTTGCCCTGAATCCATCCTTAACCCAATGGTCCCCTGCCCTCACCAAAGGATAAGTCCCTGGGAAAAGGCATGCCGGCCCCATCAGGCCTTCTCTTTGCCCCAAGATAACAACTGGCGTTTTCTTCTAGAAAGTCTCCTGCTTTCACTGCGGTCCCGCTTAGCGACCCGCCGCCACCGGCAAGCGAGACTGAGGACTCCGATCGCGATGTCTCATCTGATAGCTCCATGAGATAGGGACCACCTCCATCTTGGCTCCCCTGTGCCCCATCCTGCCAGAAGCTCAATGAGACCCAAAGGTGGGGGTTCATGGAGGGGAAAACCATTTGTACACCACACCAAACCTGGCCCTGGGGCCTGTGTTGCTCCTCTCTCGGGCTTCCTCCCTTGGTTCTTGGCCTCCCTAGAGTTCTGGGATGTTGGGGGCTAGGCTTGGCCCTGCCCTTCCTGGGCAGCTCCCACTGCAAATGGGGCTCTCCTGCCTTCATGCGTGGTATCTGCTACTTCCCCATCTTTAAAAGGCCAAGAGTGTTCATGGCCTTTCACTTTTTCTATTGTGTAAGGAATGTGAATGTGGGACCTCCAACTCTGGGATCTAGAGCCTGCTGTACCGGTGCTAACTGGCCCAGGCACTGGTATGAAGTGGATTCAGCTAGAAGTTCCCTAAAGGATTGTGCAACACATGCAGTTGGACAGGACTTCCCTTCCTGTTATGGATAGAGGGAGGTGATACTGGATAGGTACTCTGCCCTGCTGTCCATGTTCTCATGGCTGTCCACCTGCCAACTGTATTATATGTGACTGTAACCTTCCCTCACAGAGGGAGGCACTGTGCATTAAAGGGGCCTTTATGCCCTGGACTGGGTGAATTATCCTGAAGGAAGATAGCTCTTATCTCCTGGTCTCTGCTGTGACAGGAAAAAAAAAAGAAAAAAGAAAAAAGTGAAGCAGCTCTATGTGCCTGCGTTCAGGGTCTGTTTCAAGTGTTGGCTGAAGATGTGCCTCTTCCTTGTCTCATTCACCAAAACCAACAGGCTGATGTCTGACTTGGAAAAGCTTGAGAAGTGGAGATTCAATTCTGAATACCTCAGAGGCTGTGCTTGAATGGAGTCTTTAATAATAATCAAAATGGAGAATATTTATTGAACACTTTTATGTCACCGATTTAAGCCCTTTAACTATAGAATCTAAGTTCTGTATTGTTTTTTCATCTCCATTTCACAAAATGATGTACAGGAAGTTACAAGTAACTTGCCCAAATACAGCCTCCAAGTAGCAGAGCTAGTTCACCAGCCAGCTCCCAGCCTGTTACTACCCACTAAAAGCCAGGAGGTAAAACCTTGTTTTACTGACATTTTAATCATGTTGTTTTACCTAATTTAAAGACCTAAGCTGAGGGATGCAGTTATTCACACATGAAGGTATGAGTGGAAGAACTAGAATTGCACGTGAGAGTCTCCATGCAGCCTACTACATACTTCACAAGCCTGTCAACCAGTCAGGCTCAAAGTCCTGACATCAATATTACCTTTCCTAAGGGTACCTGAAAGAAGGCTGGGGGTGCCTAGTAAGGCCAAGTTCAATCCCCAGCACCACCAAAAAAAGAAAAGTAAAAATAACTTTCTAACAGAGGTAGCCAGGTGAAGGGCCTTTCAATATTCAGTTTGCTTCAGGTAGCACCCAGAGGGAAAATGTAAATGAGGAAGGCATATATATGTAATAATAAGGATAGCTGGATGCCGCTGTGGCAACTGTAATTGCAATGACCCTGAGGGATAAGATAGGAGGATTGGGAGTTCAAAGCCAGCCTCAGGAAAAGTGAGGCTGCTAAGCAACTCAATTTCTAAATAAAATACAAAACAGGGCTGGGAATATGGCTCAGTGGTTGAATGAGTTCAATCTCAGGCACTTCCCCACCCCTACCCCCCCAACCCCAAAGGATAAAGGTCAGGTCCCACTCGACACACATTCCCATGACCACAGAATAGACAGGTGGCTGGGTGCAGTGAACTTTATTGATGGTATGTGACAATAAGGCTCCCTAAGCCCCTCCCCTTCTTCAGGGGATCTAGGATGGAAATTGGTAAGGGGGGAGATTCTCAGTGAGTTGAGGGACTGAGTTAGGGGCAGGGACTCCCCAGCAGCTGAGGGCCTCTCTCTTCCTGTGTTCTTGCTGGGGCAGGTGGTCCAGGGACTCTTACTCCTTGGAGGCCATGTGGACCATAAGGTCCACCACCCTGTTGCTGTAGCCAAATTCATTATCATACCTAGAAAGTGAATGAGTTGTTAAGAGCCATTTTTCTGAGCCAGCCACCAGGTCAATTTCAAAGTCTATTCCCTCCACCCAGGTTACATACCAGGAAATGAGCTTAACAAAGTGGTCGTTGAGGGCAATGCCGGCCCCAGCATCAAAAGTGGAAGAGTGGGTATCACTATTAAAGTCGCAGGAGACAACCTGGGGAAAGAAGAGAGCTAAGTATGGGAATCCACCTCTGTTTAATAGGGCAAAATTCCCTGTCCTATCAGACCAGTACCTGGTCCTCCGTGTAGCCCAAGATGCCCTTGAGGGGGCCCTCTGATGCCTGCTTCACCACCTTCTTGATGTCATCGTACTTGGCCTTATGAGGTAAAAATAAGATGGATGTTCATTTTCCAAAATCACCACTATTTTACCAGACAAAATCTCAGTCTACCATGTTTCCAACCCAAACGTACAGCTTTCTCCAGGCGGCAGGTCAGATCCACAACTGACACATTGGGAGTGGGCACACGGAAAGCCATGCCAGTGAGCTTCCTGTAGACGGGGGAAGCACTGTCAGCTCCAGGTGCTCCTGACCCCCTCCCCTCTATTCCCCCAGGTACAGCAAAGCCTTACCCATTCAGTTCAGGGATGACCTTGCCCACAGCCTTGGCAGCACCAGTGGATGCAGGGATGATATTCTGGGCAGCCCCACGGCCATCACGCCACAGTTTTCCAGAGGGGCCATCCACAGTCTTCTGAGTAGCAGTGATGGCATGGACTGTGGTCTGGAAAAATGGAAGCGCTAATGAGGCCCCTCTGAGTACCCATCACACAAGCCCTCACTCAGCCTCCTTCCTCCACCTTGGGAGGGATTGAGGGATAGATTTGAACCAGTCCCTTAAAACCCCTAGTCTTGGAGCAAAAGTATGGAGAAGGATCCAGCGATCCAGCCCTGAGTGAGAATTAATCAGCTCAGGTCTCATTTCCCATCATCCACATACCATGAGTCCTTCCACAATGCCAAAGTTGTCATGGATGACCTTGGCCAGGGGGGCTAAGCAGTTGGTGGTACAGGAGGCATTGCTGGGAAGAGAGGAAAAGTCAGGGAGGGCATGCACACAGCCTTACTCTCAGCCCTAAATGCCATTTCCCCAATGCCCTCTGCTGTCCTTACCTTACAATCTTGAGGGAGTTGTCATACTTCTCATGGTTCACACCCATCACAAACATGGGGGCATCAGCAGAAGGTGCAGAGATGATGACCCTTTTGGCACCACCCTTCAAATGAGCCTATAATCGAAGGGGTTGGTTATAAATGTAGGTTCTGCTTTTTTTTTTTTCCTGGTTAAGACAGATTCCCTCATGCTTCTAGCTACAAATTCAGGGTCAACTCTCCTCCTATTTAGCCTTCTATCCACTTACCCCGGCTTTCTCCATGGTAGTGAAGACACCAGTGGACTCCACAACATATTCAGCACCAGCATCACCCCATTTGATGTTGGCGGGATCTCGCCTAGGAGAGAGGTAACAGGATGAAGTTCAGGCATATGATGTACCATGTACCTGAGGTAGGTACTCTATCCTAGTTACCTCCCCAAAGCAAAAATCCCCTGATCCTGCTCTGTGCAAAATAGGCAAGGAAACAAAATACAATCTCTTGTCTTCCACACTTACTCCTGGAAGATGGAGATGGACTTTCCGTTGATAACAAGCTTCCCATTCTCAGCCTTGACTGTGCCATGGAATTTACCATGGGTAGAATCATACTGGAACATGTAAACCTGGGGAACAAGTTGAGGGCATTAATACAGTTGCCTTAAGCATGCTGCTCCTCCCACCACCTGTAAGGGCAGCACCCACCATGTAGTTGAGGTCAATGAAGGGGTCATTGATAGCGACAATTTCCACTTTGCCAGAGTTGAAAGCAGCCCTGGTGACCAGGCGCCCAATACGGCCAAATCTGAGGTGAGAAGCAAGAAAGTATGAGTAGGGAATTATTGTGGATAGGGGATAGATATGCTGATTCATCCTCTTCCAGAAAAAAATATCCATAGGTATGTATGGGGAATTGATTCTGGAAAAGGATCCTCCCCCATATCAAGATCTGTGGATGCTCAAATCCTTTACATAGAATGATGCAGTATTTGCATATAATCTGCAGTCCTCCTACATACTTTAAATCACCCCTAGGTTAACTTTTAATACCTAAACAATACCTACACATAATTTCATTTATGTGGATTCAGTTAGTACTCAGTAGACAGGACTTTTATCTAATTATTTCCCCTGTGTTCTTTTCCATCAAGTTGGTTGATGTGGAACCCTCAGACATGAGCAGCCAACTGTACATAATTCCACCCCCCATGCCCCAAAATACTAAGAGGTCTAATTTTATCTTCCTTGAGCAAGTCTGCCAGGCTGATCTGGCTTTCCAGCATGGTCATAAAGTGAAGGCTCCTTTCCTGCCCAGGAGATAACTAGGCTTGAAGACTTGCCCACCCCCAGTCATCTCAAATCCTTCAAGAAGTGCTAATGTAGGACAATGCCACCCCCAGCATGGGTACAAGCTTGGCACATGGCATTTATCATTCCTGCTTCCCATTCCCTGGGAAGGCTTATTTCTGCCTGGCCTGGATTCAGGCTACACCCTCTGTGCAGAAAAGACTTGTATACTCAGCATCACCAAGCTCAAAGGGCAGGAGTAAAGGTCAGATAGAATCTAACTGGACAGGGTATAAGTCCACCCCTTCTCCAAGTCCCTCCTACAAAAGGGCGAGGTTAAGGTAAAGATATGGAATAAACCAGTTGGTCTTCAAGCACTCTAATCCCAAGTCTCTAATTTGCCAAACTACCTACCCTTCCTAGGTAAAATCAGCACTGGGAGCAACAGATGTGTGGGTAGTAGAAAGGGGTGGAGGAGAGCAGAAGCCCAGGCTCCTACCTACAGAAAGGTCAGGCAGCTATATTTAACTCAGATCAGGGTGGAGTGGGGAGATCTAGTTTCTGGAAGATGGAATGGGAAGAAGGGCAGGATTCTCAAGACTCACAGACACCTAATACCCCCCCAGTGACCTTTATAGTGGCCTTTAGGGTTAGGTCAGCAGCTAGGCTGCCAGAGCAAAAAAGGCGGCGAGCGCTGAGCCAGTGCAAGGGAAGGGGCTGCTGCTATGGGAGCCATTTTGTGGTGTACATTTTCTTTTCTAACCACGGTGACTCAGCTCCCCCAGTCTGGCACTAAGCCATAGCTACCACACCTCTGGGGGTAAGGAGGACAACAGGGTCTCCCTGAACCCACTTCTTTGATTCAGAGAATTGTCTAGAAGCAGCATCAGGCCTGAGAAGAAATTTGGCTTGATGCTTGAGGCTGCGTTGTGAGGTTCCGTTCTTTTTGAGAGCCAAGAAAGGGGGAAAGCCTTGCATCACCTGGTTTACCGATAAAGGAGACTCCACCCTACTAAGGGAGGAGTGAGAGGTTAGTTACAGGCAAGGGCGGACAGAGTAGCCAAGGAAGGTTTCCTAACGGTAGTTCATTCATTTCCTTCCCCGTTGCAACATGGCGGGCCGGTGGCCACAAGTAAAACTGATGATGCGCAAGCCTTGCAGCTAGCATCCCAGGGTGGCCGGCGGGAGGGAGAAGGATGTGGGGGGAGGGGCTCTTCCGACACGTGACCCACAGGGCGCGAAAGGAAAGAAAAGAAGCCCCAGCCAGGGGATTAGGGGATGGGTCCCGAGTGAGAATAGGAAAGCCTCCCATTTGCCCGAGGTGGTGGAGTGAAAGGCAAAGGTTCCCCAGCTACGAGCTGGGGATAGGAGCCCCAGCCCGAGCCTACACTAGGTCTGCGCGCTGACCTTGAGCTCTCCTTGGGGTGAGGACGCTACCCACCCACCTCGCCAGGTGATTTCAAAGCCCCTGGCCTCGGCTACTTGCAGATGCAATTTCTGTGGGGGCGGCTGCAGCCTGGGGCCCCACCCTAGCCCAGCCTCTAACTTACCCGTTCACTCCGACCTTCACCATCGTGTCTCAGAGATGCGACTGCGAGGGGAAGAAAGGAAAGCATCAGCGCAGTCCACGCGGCGCCGGGTTCCAGGCCGCTGACCCTCCCTCCCCTCCCCCCAGGGCCTCCATGTCCACTTCGCGCCTCCTCACGTCCTCCTGCCCCTGCAATGCGGAGGCCCCACCCGACCCAGCTCGGTTCCGCCCCGCATCAAAGCCGCTAAAACCCTAGACCGCACACACTCCCTCTCCCGGGTTCTGATCATCCCGAGCCGCTAGTAGCTGCTTTTCGTTTTCACCTGGCACTGCACGAGACGGGAAGAAGTGGCTGCCTGTCGAACGGGAAGGAGCAGAGAGCGGCGGCGGAGGTTGCAGTCCCCCTTTATAGGAACGGGAGTGGGGGGGTGGGAGCTGGTGACGCGAGCCCCGCCCCCCGCCCGGCTGGCCCAGTCGCTGCCCAAGGGCGCTGAGGCCTGAGCTACGTGCGCCCGTAAAACCAAGAGTAGCCGGGCCTCTTACCCCCCCTTTTTTTTTATCGGCCCGCCCCGTTCTGGAAACGTGCACGCACCAAACGTGTGGGCTCCGGACGGAGAGGGGGAAGGGACTGAGATTGACCCGTTCGGGAGGTGACCTGTGATTGATTCTCAGGATGGGGCTGAGGGTATGTAGAAGACCGTGGACTTGAGGACGCGGGCTCTAGTGCTCGCGGAGGACATCTAGGAGTCAGGGATGTTAAAGTTGCAGCACAGTCGAAACGGGAGGACTTTGGGAACTGGAAGGGTGGGGAATTAAAGCCGGAGCTCGGGAGTGCTCGCGGCTGTCCCTTTCTCATTCTTTCAAAGGCTGTGAGGCGGGAAAGTTGAGGATCTTCTTCTCTAGGCTCTTCGGTAATGATACAGGAACAGCTGAAAACAAGGCCCTGCAGGGGCTCGGGCGCCTCCTGTGGGGGGTGGGGGGGTGCTTCCTAGGCTCCACTTCCCCCTCCCCATCTCTTGGCTCGCGGCCTCTCTGGATTGGGGGCCTGGGCTGGGGACAAGGCAGTAGGGGCCTGGAGAGGGAGGAGAATGAGGGGGAGGTTCCTGCACAGAAGGTCACTACGTCCTGAGACCCTGGCAGCCTGGAAACCTGATAATTGGGGCAGACAAACCAATCTCTGTCTGCACCAGCTTCTCTCACCAGGCCTGGGTTGGGGCCCCATGGGGAGGATGGCATCACTGGGGCAGGGCTGGAGGAGACTCAAGAAACCTCCCACAGAGCTGCTCCTGGGAACCTGAGGGCTGCGCCACCCACACTAGGAGACAGTGCTCCTTTCATCCACAGCAGCCCAGGGCAGAAGAGCAGAACGTGAGGGCGGAAGTCCCTCCCCTATCCTAGTACGTGCAGGCCGGCCAGGGAGCCAGGAACTCCCTCCACTGGCTGCCCCTGAGGACGTTGGGGGCAGGGTGAGTCCAGAGAGGTACGGGTGTGTGCGCGAGAAGGGGTCTCAGGCACGTGGTAGGACAAGTGCCTAGCCCCTTCCCACAAACGGGAGGGAATGATGGAAATTCATTTCTTTCTTAGAAGGGTAGAGATCCTGGACAGGGTCAGGTTTGTGAACTGTGTGAGGCTGAAAGGAATGAGGACTGGAAGGGGGTGGGGTGGGATGGGCGCGGCTCATCAGCTGGTGCAGGGCAGGGGGATCCAGGGTGGCTTTGCTAGGCCAGCGAAATCTGAGACCAGCCCCCTGCCCTTCTAGCTAAAAGCCTGTGGCTAAGTTTAGCTAGCCCAATGATAACCTTTGCTTAAAAGGCAGGGAGCATGCAGTGCTGCACCCCGACTCCAGCCCCAGCTCTTTGCCTTTTTGGGAGGGCCCTCCCTTCTTGAGGCCCCAGAGCCAAGGCTGTGTCCATGCCTGGCAGCCACCTGCATGGCCAGTGCCCAGGCTTTTCATGAGCAGCAAGAGCAGGCCAAGTGGGCACAGGATGAGGGATGGGAGGAGGCTGCAGTGCCTGAGTGGTGGGGGAAGCAGCCCACAACACCCCTGAGGAGACTGCTTCCTTCCAGCAGAGGCCCACAAAGGAACGTTAACCCTTTCCCCCCCAAAGGCCTCAGAGTCCTTCCATGCTTCTGTCCAAAGTGTGATTGTGAAGTATCATCTTCCCTTTTGCCTCATGTTTGTCATTTCTCATTACGGTTCCCTGCACCCCACCCCCAAAAAGGTGGAGAGCTCAGTGCCCATGGAGTGCTACTGGTGCACTGTGCTGTTGTCATGACAGCAAAGACAGGAATGTGGTCTTGACAACAGGCTCACTGCCTCTGGTTCCAGATGACTCAGCAGAAATAAGACTTGGGGAGCTAGAGAAGAATGGGCAGGCTTCAAGGACACCATGAATAGTGTGGCCTACTGCTAGACCTACTGCACACCTGGTAACATAGTAAGGAACCCCTGGTAGGCACACCTTGTCTCTATAGAGCTGGAGGGGATCGTGATCAACCAGGCCAGGCCAGTAGCTAGTCTTCAGAGATGGGAACGGGAATGGGGCAGGGCAGGGAATATGGAGGAAATCAACCTTTAGTCTAGAGCAGGGTTTCTCAGCCTGAGCACTATTGACATTTTAGGTCAAATATCTGTCTTTTGGGCTGTACGATATTTACCAACATCCCTGGTCTTTACTCATTGGATGCTGGCATTTCCCCTCAGGCTGTGACAGAGTCTCTAGGCATTATCAAATGTCTGTTGTTCCCCACCCCCCATGCTGAGAAGCACTGATTTAAGCCTAGAAACTGCATAATTCTCCACAGTGGGGCCATCTTGTCACTTGTGCAGGTGAAACTGGTAAAGGGGAGCATGAAGCTCATCAGAGATTTGGAGACCAGCACCAGATTACCTGAATCTTAATGTGAAAGATGAAACAAAGACAAGGGCTGGGGTTGTGGCTCAGCGGTATAGAGTGCTCGCCTAGCCCATGTGAGGCCCTGGGATCAATCCTTGGCACCACATAAAAATAAATAAAAGTATTGTGTCTAACTTAAAAAAAAAACAAAACCCAAAGACAAGTTTAGGACAGAAATGTCTAAAAAGTATGTAAAAGCATTTATTCATTAGAAAACAAGGAGTCTGGCAAACATCTATTGCAAAGTGGGAAAGCAGGTCAACCCAATTCAGGCAGGCTAGCTTAGAGAAATGCCTTGAATTTTAAAGATCATTTATATATTAAAAAAAACAAGGTGACAGGCAAACAATATTATGCAGAGATAAGAAAACTGGAATTCAAGATCATCCCAGAGGATACCCTGCACAGCAGGGATGAGAACAGGTAATTTGACTTCTTAGGATCTGTGCCTGAGAGTGGATGCTCTGCGGAGGGGGGTTGTTTTCTTGGGTGTCTCATCTTCTGTCATCTCTGCTGAAAGCTCTATTCAAAGGATTGGAGGAATAAAAAGAGCTGAATCACAAAGATGGTGAAAAATAGATCTCAGAGAACAAATATGACAGCTCCACACCACACTATAGAGATAAACCCAAACTGCAGAGAGGAAGACATCATGGGGCAGTGGGGCAAAGAGAATCTATACCCAGTTGTGCCCTACAACAGGGATCCCATCAAAAGTAGCCATCCAAGATGGAGCATCATACCTTCCTCACTGGACTCATCGCTTGAAAAGACAACCTTGGGTTTCTTTTTCGAAGTGCGCTGCTGAGTTTTTGGAAGTTGGCGAGTAGTTCGCCGAGGCTTGGGTGTTACAAAATCACTGTCAGAGGAGGCAGAGGCCAAGCGCTGCTTCCTAGGGACTAAAAGACAAGGAGATGTGATTAAAAGAAAGGTAACTGCTGCTTGTGGGCTTCCCATTGTGAGGCTGGGTCACATACCAGAAGATTGTTTCCTGGCTGATGGGGCTCTCTGGCTACCTCCTTGGCCAATCTCAAGCTCCTCTATTCCATCTGATCCTCTGGTGTGATAGGCCCGAAGCTTCTGCTCAAATTCATCTATTATAGCCTGGCAAGGAAAAAAGGAGATAAACAGCAAGTCTGGAGACATTGTTATTCTATGATTGAAAAGACGGAGTGAGGAAAGATGTGGAAGAATGGCAAATTTTTACTGCAAAGCTAAAGAAGTCGATTTGAAAAGGCTACATGCTATTTGACTCCAACTTTTTGACATTCTAGAAAAGGCAAAACCATGGAGGACATAAAAAGATCAGTGCTTGCTAGGAATTGGGAGGGAGGAGGGGGAATAGATAGAACACAGGAAATGTTCAGGGCAAACTATTCTAATAATAGTGGGCACATGTCATTATATTTAGTAATGCTAATCTAAACTATGAACTTTGGGTGATGATTTGTTAATGTGGTCACTAATTCAATCATGTCACTCATTTATGTCAATATACATTGTAACAAATGTACCATTCTGGTGCAGGAAATTGAGAATGGGGAAAGGTTATGTGTGTGGAGATGGGTATATGGGAACTCTGACTCACTGTTCAGTTTTGCTTTGAATTTAAAACTACTCTAAAAAAGAGTCTATTGTAAAAAAGAAGAAAAGAAAGAAAAAGAAGAATTGAAGACAGATTGGATCTTAACCTATTGTGGTAATACATCCTTAACCCTAATGACTTGGGAGGCTGAGATAGGAGGATCACAAGTTTGAGGCCAATCTGGGCAAATTAATAAGCCCGTGTGTCAAAATAAAATAAAAATAATTGGGAATATAGCTCAGTACTAGATTGCCCTTGGATTCAATCCCTAGTTTCAAAAAAATAAAACAAAATTTTAAAAAAACCTATTCTCAAATCATCTTGGTAACATAGTGAAGCTGGGGATAAGTCATATAATAGTGTGAGCACAAGAGCCTCAGAACACTGCCTAGGGAGAGCAACCCCTATTAAACTGTGCTGCTTACCTTGCCCTCTGGCTTGGCCCCTCGCCGCAATTTGCCCACAATGGACAAAAGAGCTCCGAAGATGGACTCATCTGACAGTTTATCTCCAAAGCAGTCAAAATTGTCCATCATCTTGCGTAGGCCTCGCTCTGTGATGGGAAGCTGTGACATGCAGTAGGCCAGGTCCCGGTACTGTCGCTCAGTTCTGCAGATGGGAAAGGCTTTGTGAGCAATAGGCTCACAAAAGGTTGTCCTTCATAGGTCTCCCTTGGTCCCAGGTATATCACTGGTAGTTCTTTCCCCCATGTGGCTGTTGTCAACACAAAGATCTTTCAGGAAAGGCAATGTACCGAGCTGTGCGGAACCGCTGACATAGCTTCTCTACCAAGCTCTCGGTCTGCTTGTCCTTGGTGATGTAGGAGAGAAGCTGCCTGCAGAAGGGGAAGTGAGAATGTGGGATCAGCCAAGAGCACCTCCAACCTCATCCTCTAAGACCTATGCTGGACCCTCACCTAGCACCAGACTTCTCTGTCTTTGCTCAATAGAAGAATGTTCTTGGTCATGGCCCTCTAATTGCCTCACTGCTTCTCTTGTCCTCTCCCAGACATTAGAGAACCCACTCCCCAGGAATTTTTATTGTGAATAGAAATTAACAAGAAAAGTTGTCATTTGTGAGTACTAATGTGTGCCTTCCACAATGTTAAGAATAGTAGATTATTCAATATTCTCAAGAACTATGAGAAATTTTTGGAGGAGAAAATAGAAGTCAAATTATTGCTGAAGGTCATACAGCTAAAAAGCAGCAGGTCTAGGGTAGAGGTGTAGCTCAGTAGCTGAGGGCTGGCCAGGGATGTGAGACCATGGGTTCATCCTCAAGAGCTGCCAAATGAATGAATGAATAAAACTAAAATGGAATTCAAATTTAAGTATGTCTGATTCCTAAGCCTATGTGCTAGTGAAAAATGTGCTCCAAGGCCCATGGAACAGTACTTCATGATGGTGTGGAAAGGCTCTTCCTCCACTCCACCCTCAGGGTCTGATAGGCGGCTGATGATATCTGGAAGGAGATTATAGATGGCGTTGCCCTATAGAGGAGAAAGAATTGTGCTAAAGGGATGAGGTAACCTACATACTCCCTCTGCAGCCCCAAGTTGCCTCTCCACTTCTCACCTTGTGAGAAAGCTCATTGAAGAAGTTCTTGGCCAAGGCAGCAATCTGAGGCTCACGGTCAATGAGTAGCACAGCCATCTCGCTCACCTGCCCCTTCACTTTCACCATGTCCTTTAAGATCAAGTGTGTCATCACCAGGCCTGCTGTCTTCCGCACTTGTGGAGCTGGGTCCCTGAGGCTAGGAATGAAATCTCAAGACATTGGGACCCAGACCTCTGAGCTATACCCTAAAACCAGTAGGAAAGCTTCTCAGCAGGGATCCATTACCCTCAGAATGCCATGCTAGAAGCAGTTAGAAAGGTGTCTACAATTGAAAACTGTAGCCAAGGCATTGCATTGAAGCTTCAATTCCCTTAGAGTCACACTTAGCCAGGGGCCTGTACAGGTTAAGTATCAAGTAGAAAGTAATGTCAAAGACTAGGGAAATACAGTCTTAGTGACTCTCACACTAGCATATCGGATTCCAGGAACAAGCAGGGACTACTCAAAGGTGAGAGATTTCTTACCGAGCATATAGATGAGGTGTCCAAGGATCCACCAAGTTGGGAAAGCGGATGGCCAGATCCCCAGTAGCAATCATGAGGTTAGACCGGACAATGGGGAGTGAAGACTTTTCTAGCATGGTGAACAGAAGACGAAGCTGGGAGTCACAGAAAGTAGCGCTAGTGGCAAGGAGAAGAACATCAGAGAAGCCATCTCATCTCCATCCTCTTTGAGGCAGTATCAACTCAGAGCCTACCTGATCATGCAGAACTTGCCAAGGGCAAGTGAAGCAGCTGCAGAAAGGTCTGGGTTGCCATAGAGACCAGGGTTGTTGCAGACTTTAAGCAAAAGTGGAACAAAGGCAGCCAGGATCTGTTTGCCTGTTGGAAGAATACTCTATGTTTGGGATGGGTTATTATTATTATTATTATTTTTGATACTGGGGATTGAACTCAGGGGCATTCAACCATTGAGCCACATCCCCAGCCTTATTTTGTATTTTATTTAAAGACAGGGTCTCACTGAATTGCTTAGCGCCTTGCTGTTGCCGAGGCTGGCTTTCAACTTGTGATCCTCCTGTCTCAGCCTCCCGAGCTGCTGGGATTACAGGCATGTGCCATGGTGCCTGGTAAGGGATGGGTTATCTTAACTGGGGAGATCACTTAGCAATTTTTCTTACCGTCCAACAGTTCCATCTCACAGATGCTACGGATTAACTCTGCTTCTGGATCATCAGCGGTGGCACCCACCAATCCCAGCTCCTCCTCCATGGTGGTCTCAGAGCTTGAATTCTAAAGGGAAAGATCATGGTGATCTGATCATGGGTGACCAAAAACATCATATTATAGTTAACATTTCATTTTGCATGAACAGATCTGAGGAAAGGTGATGTCTACAAAACCATTCATAGAATTGCCAAATGTTTGTGTGTGGTAAAGATAAAGCTTTTCTTTTTTTGTACCGGGGATTGAACACAGGGACACTTAACCACTGAACCACATTCCCAGCCCTATTTTTTGTATTTTATTTAGAGACTGGGTCTCCTGAGTTGTTTACTGCCTAAGTTGCTAAGGCTGGCTTTGAATTCACGATCCTCCTGCCTTAGCCTCCTAAGTGACTGGGATTACAGGCATGCACCACCATGCCTGGCTGAGAAAAAAATTCTATTTCTTTGTTTGTTTATTTTTTAGTTTTAGGTGGATACAATATCTTTATTTTATTTTTATGTAGTGCTAAGGATCCAACCTAGTGCCTCACAGGTGCTAAGTGAACACTCTACCACTTGAGCCACAACCCCAGCTCCAAGAATTCTTAAATAAGGAAAAAAACTAGGTCCTCTGATTTTGTTTTTAAGCTTTAATCAGATTTCTATACTGTTTCTTAATTAATTCTCACAGAAGATGTAGTTATTGTATATGGAAAACAAATGGATCATGGCAAACAATGGTTCAAGGTCAAAGAGAAGGTCAGACTGTTCCAAGGCAGTCTTATTTGTTTGTAAAAAAAAGCTGCCTTTAGTGGAAAAGACATGAGGTCCTCCTACGTGCTAGGCCAGTAGTGAAAGCTGATGGGCAGGGGGTTGGGTTCATGATGTTTTAACAAACATTGCCTCAGGTAGAGCCTAAATCTTATGCTGAGTTGCCTAGCTCTGTAGTCTGTATTTATCTAATACTCTTCCTTCCTGGTGTGCATGGACAGACTGTTCAACCTTTGTTTACACTAATCTTTCCCAGGTTATTAGCAACAAAGAGGCAGAGAATCTTCACTTAATAGAGAAGCAGAGATCCCCAGAAGGAAATGTTCTGACCCAAGGTCATGAAATAACTCTGGAAATGCTGGGGACAGGAACCCATCACCTAGGTGCTCTGCTTACCTTCTCCTTGGGGTCTTTGGATTTGTGTTCCTGTTCTTCCCGAAGAACTCGGCGCCTACAGAGCTCTCCACTCACGGCCTGTTCCAGATGTACCAACTGCTGCAGGGCCACATCCCCAGCTAATGACAGCAGGTTCATCAATAGAAAAGTGGGGAGCATTGGAACAGTTTCCTCTAAAGGAAGGGAGAGGAAAAGGCAGGGAGAAAGATATGGTCAAATTCCATCAAACTTATTGTTTCAACTTCAATTTGGACAAAAACGAGACATTGTGGACTGAGAGGTTGTAGAAAGGGGTGGTAGCAGTAGCTTTTGGCCCTGTAGGGAAAACAGCAGAAGCTGGTTGCCCACCCGAAGGCCCAGCAAATCTCTGCCCACTTACTGGGATCCTCCTGACTGGTGCTCTTTTCCTCCAGCTTCTCTAGGGTCTGCTTTGCACAGCCCTGCAACATCTGGGCACAGATCACCTCAGGGCCCTCTGCCAGTTGGTAAGTGAGGGTTACTGCTACCTCTTTGAATGGGATCCAGAGTGGGTCTGGGTGGGCAAAGCCTAAATCAGAGAAGGGACAAGCTGTTCACTGTAGACAAAGGTTCCCAGTTTTGCCAAAGCCCTTCTGGATAGCTCACCTTTAGTAACCATCTCCTGAAGTCGCTCAAACAACCTATGTTCATGAGGCAGTCGGAAGGGAGGGTGACGTTTGCCCAGAGAAGGCTGTGGAAACAAGGAAAACAGAGTGCAAGTGTGTGTAGAGGATGTAAAAGAGGATCTCTACTTTCCTCAGTTCGACATAACCACTCCACATACCTTTCTCCTATCAGAAATGTTCGCGATGGTAAGGCACACCTGCTGGGCCAGCCTATAGTCCTGTGGGAACTTCTCATCCAGCCCTATGCTCACCAGCGTGTCTAAGTTGCTTCCCACAATTTCTGGTTTTCCTCTAGGGGAAGGAAGCCATAAAAGTTAAAGATAGTCTTGGACAAGACTGTGGGGGACAATGCCAATAGGTAGGCACCAGCGCCCAGCATGGGGTTTCCAGAGCCTTGGAACTAGTGAGGCTGACACAGGGCTGACCCCTTGGATCCCTCTGGTTCTAGTGAATCTATTTTTACTAGACAGAAGGATTTAGGTAGCCAACTCCCAGCAGAGCTCAGCTGGGGTGATTGCTACTACCAAAGGAGAAGGAACCTTCTCAGAACCTTTCTTTTCTCTCCCACCCTACTGCTTACTAGAGCTGGGCCTCACCGTGCCATCATGCCAAGAAGCATGACAGAGGAACAGCGCTCCAGAGCAGAGCAGGGGACCTTCTCAGTGGCCCGCTCCCACAGCAGTTGGATCACTGCAGGTTTCAACTCATCCTTCTGCACAAACTCACAGAGCTGAGGAGAGAAGAAAGAAGGCTCAGGCCAAAAAACAAATCCCTTTGGCCCACTTCTCTGAAGACAAGACTAAGAACCTTAAGTGGGTAAAACCAATATTTTGGAATGAAAAAGGAAGAAGGATACTCAATATGTAAAATAGGTGCTTCTGTATCAATTTTCTATACTCATGCCTTCAAACCTACACTTGTTAAAGTGATACATCAGCACTGATTTTTTCTAAGTTCCATGTAGATCCATAGTTCTGACTATATTCTAGAGATTTCTAGAAGGTTTTCTTGCTATTGCCACAAACTCAGCCTGTATAAAATGTAAGCTATCATTCTTTCCTGCCTCTTCATTTTGCCAGTAGTACCAATTCTCTCTTAATTATACATACTTAAAATTTCAGTCACCGAATTTTATGAATTAGTCCTACCTATCTTTCCTTTAATATTTGTCTTCTGGTATGTCCAATTCTGTAGCTATTCCTCCAGGTCAGAGTCTTACCCCTTGTATACCTATAGTAGCCTCCAGTAACCTTCCTGTACTGTACCTAACCCCTCTCCAACCACCTTGTATGTGGTTGCTGGGTCAGTCTCACCAAACATCTGTCTCCTCCTGTCACAGTTCTATTATTTATTACTTTGAATCAGCACTCTGTCTACCACACAGGCTCCTGACTACTTACCAGCCTGGGAGATCTCAGGCCACTTGCCACCACCAGGGTAGCTCCCAGGGAAGAGAAAAATATAGCAGGCAGCAGTGCTGCTCCCAGTGGTAACTAGAGGTCAGTACTACCTTCACTGTTTGTATCCACAATGCAAATATTTCATAGGAGGTTTGCCTCATTAAAATACTGGGGTCCTTGCCTAACATGAAATCCTAGACTTTGAAAGGTATTCAGGACCTGCACAATTTAGTTTCAAACTACATTCCCAATTTTACCTTCTGTTCTAGATAATTTTGAGCCAAAATACAATATTCCTTATTCTATAACACAGCTTGTCTCCTTGGGTTTATATCTGACATGCTTTCCCTCTAGTCTCTAACTCTTTATATTCTACTTCTCTTTCAAGACCTAACTTAAGTCCTACTACCTTTTCACAGCTTCCCTTGACCATTCTACCACAAACAGCTCTCATTCCTACTCCATATTCCTCATGCCTTCAAAACTACACTTGTTAAAGTGATACACCAGCACTGATTTTTTCCAAGTTCCATGTGGATCCATGAACAGCACAGAAGTTAAGTATGTTTTCTGGAGTTCTCATAGCCTGTCTCTAACTAGCTGTAACTAGCCAAGTTCCTTAACCTTCTACTAAGACTCTCAGATTTCTCATTTTAAAAAACAAAGAAAACTTCCTTACAGAGTTGTGGAGCATGAAATATCATTTAAGTGTTGTTATTTTATTATTATTGCTATTTTAATCATTACCTGCTATTTTAATCATTGCCACTTATCATAACAATTATCAACTTGCTGCATTATTCTAAAAATGTTTTGTGTTTTGGCTATCAACTAGATTATTGTTTCTTTTACAGTTGGAAATGTCAAAGTTAATAATCTTACACTTCTTTATGGGCCGAGTAAACTGCTGAACACATATTTGCTAATATTTGTTGAATGAAAAAGAGAGAAAGTAAGATGACTTACAATTTCCTCAAGACACTGAATGGTCCCAACGGAGGCATCCACTAGCAACAAAGAGAGATTCTGAATCAAAGCCTGGGCCTTGGCTCTGTGGGAACAGCAGAGATTGGTGTCATTGAAAGACTGGTGAGTTGAACTTGGCAGACAGGTTATTAGGGTTTTCCCATCATAGTGTCAAATAATTGTTTAGGATAGGCTTCACTGGAAATTCAGCTCTACCTGAACTCTATTATAAATCTACTAAACATGCAAAAAAAAAAAATCTGCATATGGATTTGAAACTCCTGAGGGGGAAGGATGGCCTTCTTAACTTTAGCAGACTAGAAAAATCCTGTGAGAAGGAAACCTCAGAAAGACAAAAGAAGTCCATGTACCTGGTAGAATCCCCTTTGGGTTTGAGGTAGATTTGGCGGTAGGCATTAAGTACAGCTTCCCGGACACCAGGCTCCTTAGACCAGATGAGTGGCAGCATGCGGCGTACCCCAAACAGGGCCTGGGGTACCCCAAATTGGAATACCATCACAAAGAATTCTATTATCTCCTGTACCACTGAAAGGAGAGATACAAATGTCACCCATCTACTTGACAAAACTCCTCCAATATACAGAAAAAACTCTTAACATAGTAACATCCTCATTTTCCTGGAGAATGTCAACTTCTCTTATAATGCTTTATCATAAAATTCTCTATATATTAAGATATATAAGCTGTACAAAGCAAATGGAAGGAAAGAACAGTTGTCATTTAAAGGAGCAGGGAGAATTCAATAAAATATAGATGGGACAAGTTTTCCAATTCGAAGAGGCAGTCCTTTCTGTATGAGACCCTGGCCTACCTGTAGTCGTGTTTTCATACATCATCTTGCTGATGATGCCAATGGCCTCTGTAATCTTCCTGGAAAAGCTGTAAGCATCCTGCAGATATTGCACCAGCATCTCCTGCTTCACCAACTCATCATTCTGCTCAGATCTCATAGGTTCTGATACACTGGGAGTGTCTTTACAGTTAGTCTGTCCTAGAACCACATTCTTATCAGACCCCTGAGAATTGTTCTTTGTGGAAGCTACTGGGCCTAGAAGTTAGAGAAATACAGGACAGTTTTTAAGGGAATATGGGGAATCCAACAGCTATCACCATCCCTGGATTTTTTTCCCCACAATGTGAAGGTATGAAATTAAAACCTATTCTAAGCTGGGCGCAGTGGTATACGCCTGTAATCCCAGTGGTTTGAGAGGCTGAGACAGGAGGATTATGAATTCAAAGCCAGCCTCAGCAATTGTGAGGCGCTAAGCAACTCAGTGAGACCCTCTTTCTAATAGGACTGGGGATATGGATCAGTGGCTGAGTGCCCCTGAGTTCAAATCCTGGTATACCCCCCCAAAAAAAGAATAAAATAAATAACTTGTCTCAACTATTTAAAATAAATAAATAAAACCTATTCTATGGGGCTGGGGCTATAGCTTAGTGGTGGAGCACTTGCCTAGCATGTGTGAGATATCAAGTTCAATCTTCAGCACCATATATAAATAAATAAGTTAAATAAAGGTATTTTTGTCTATCTACAGCTAAAACAAAAATTTTTTTTTAAACAAAACAACAATTTAAAAAACCCTAAGATGTTTTGGTGGTTCATTTCTCAAAAAAAGATTCCTGGATAGTCACCCTGCAACAAGGCTATTCCCATTCCAGAGCAGAAGCCTTGCCAACTCCCCTCTAGCCTCTTTTAGGCACCAGATTCTGTTAGCCAGGACAGTATCTGTCATAAAGTAAATGCTCAATACATACTAGTTGGATTGTTTGTTGAATGAAGAAGAAAAAGGATAACCTTTGAAGATAACTCCTAAGAGATTTAGAAACCTGGTCTCCTCTGACTCCTCTGGGTCTGCATAACTGAAGAGTTCAGACTCCTGGAAGTGGCCTATGGCTTCTTGAGCAAGAATGATGGCCTGCCTGAAAGAACACAAACCCGTTACCAGTTCATCACCCAAAAGAGTGTTGCTATGGTCTTTTGTAAGGAAGCCTACCTCATGTTTCCATCAAGCCCCCGGGCCTAGTACCCAAAGAAAAGGAATACATCTCAGATTAAGCACATGTTCCACCACTGAGCAACATTATTAGCCCTTGCCTAATTTTTTAAAAATTAGATTTCTGCTAGGAAAAAAAAAAAAGGTTTTTAAAAAAGTAATTTAATTTGTGCCTACCCAGGGATTTTAAAAAAAAAGCCATTTAAAAAATTTTTATTCTAGTCAGCAGTGGTGACCAACACCTGTAATCCCAGCTGCTCAGGAAGCTGAGGCAGAAGGATCACAGTTTCAAAGCCAGCCTCAGCAACTTAGCAAGGCTTAAGAACCTAGTGATACCCTGTCTCAAAAAAGATAAATAAATAAAAAATTAAAATGGCTGGGGATGTGGCTCAGTGGTTAATCACCCTTGAGTTCAATCCACCAGGAAAAAAAAAAAAAGTTTTGTTCTAATATATGTTTAAATTTGTAACTGGAAGAAAAACAACTCTGGATTCGTACTCTGAAGAGTTAGACTCACTTTGCTATTTACTAGCTGTGTGTGATGATCAAAAGTCACCTAACCGACCTCTATTTCTGTATTTTTTTTTAATATTTATTTTTTAGTTGTAGTCTGACACATTATCTTTATTTATTTATTTTTATATGTGGTGCTGGGGATCAAACCCAGAGACTTGCACGTGCTAGGAAAGCACTACTGAGCTACAACCCCAGCTCTATTTCTATATTTGTAAAATGGGTAGATAATCTGAGGATATCAGCTACTTAAAATATCATGGGCAAGCCAAGCTTGGTCATGCCTATAATTCCAGTGGCTTGAGAGGCTGAGGCAGGAGGATTGCGAGTTCAAAGCCAACCTCAGCAAAAGCGAGGCACTAAGCAATTCAGTGAGATCCTGTCTATAAATAAAATACAAGGGCTGGGGATGTGGCTCACGCGGTAGCGCGCTCGCCTGGCATGCGTGCATCCCGGGTTCAATCCTCAGCACCACATACAAAGATGTTGTGTCCACCAAGAACTGAAAAGTAAATATTAAATAAATAAATAAATAAAATACAAAAAATAGGGCTGGGGATGTGGCTCAGTGGTTGAGAGCCCCCGAGTTCAATCCCTGGAACCCTAAAAAAAAAAAAAAGGACAGGGCTGGGGTTGTAGCTGGTACAGCGCTTGTGTGAGGCACTGGGTTCAATCCTCAGTACCACATAAAAATAAATAAAATAAAGGTATTGTTGTCTATCTACAACTAAAAAATATATTTTAAAAAAATTTAAAGCAGACTATAGAAAAAGCAGAGAGGAAAAATTGCTGGTTGTTAGGCTAAAATGTCAATTAGGAATCTTCTGCTAAGGATTTCTGAAGGTTGTGGGGGGTAACATTAGCAACATGAGAAGAAACCTTCTGATAGGAGAAAATACTAGAGTACTTAGAGGATGACAGAAGCAGTTATAAAACTACAGCTTTTACTTATGCTTCTATAAAATAGAGATAGAGATGTTAGAGGGCAAACTAGTCACCCTCTTTTTTTGAACAGCCTAATTAAGAAAGAATTAAATAATCAATATGCAGTGGAAATTTAAGAATACATATTGGCAGTTATAAGGCTTTTATTTCTAAGCTGCTCTGAAGTTCTAGAATCACCAAAACACTGGGAGAAATCTTTTCTCTAAGAGATTCAGACTAGGTTGATTACTAAAATAATTTTAAGCAAATTTGATATTTAGAATTAGAAAGTCATTAGAAGGCTGAGGTTGTAGCTCAGCAGTCGAGTGCTTGCCTAGCACACATTAGGCACTGGGTTCGATCCTCAGCACCACATAAAAAATAAAATAAAGGTATTGTGTTCATCTACAACTAAAAAAATACTTTAAAACACAATGATATTATAAAAAAAGAAAGTCATTAGATATATTATCTACTCAATTTCTTATTTTAGAGATATCAAAACCGAGTTAAGCAATTTATATAAGATTATATAATTAAAATTGTACTCATAGACATTCTTCAAATTGATGAGGATTTGTTTAATTTTTTTTGAGATTAACTTTAAACCCAAACAGATCATTGGAAATCTCATTCTTTAACATACTTGTAACTAGCTTTGGCAAGTAGTTGATAGATGCGTCCTTTCACCCCTTCTGTGGTCTCTGTATGAGCAATTTGCTTAGGAATCTCTTCCTTTTCCTGGGGAAGCTTTAGAAGCTGCTGAAGGGTAGACTTCAATTCTGGCAGCATGGCTTCCCACTCCTCCTCTGGGTCTACTGCTGCAGCTGAATGAGAATTTCACTTAGTCTCTTTCAAGGGAGTTTCTGACCAGAGAAGAAGGCTGGATGGGGTGAGAACTCTTTCACACAGTAATTACTCACAAGCAGTGGCAGTTTGCCTCTGGGCTCTCATCTCTTGTAATTTCTGCATCTCCTTCTGTAGTGGTCCAGCAAGGTCAGTATCACTAAGCTATCAAGGTAAAGGGAGTATCAAGTCACTAAGTGACATAATTTTGTCCTTGTTTCCATTTCATTCCTTCTCTTTTGAATGGACCAAGTCTACTTACCTTGCAGGAAAAGGGATTATTGGCTAAAAAGCTGGCCAGCAGCTGGATGGCATTTTTACATACTAGCACTGACTTGTCTGCCAGACGTCCCACTGCTAAGACCACCACTGCCTGGAAACGTGTCAGAGGAAGGGCCTAGGTGGGTGAGAAGAGAAGGATCAGCTCACATCCCACATCATCAATTCTGATCTTTTTTGGGGTACTGGGGATTGAACTCTCAGGGGCACTCAACCACTGAGCTACATCCCCAGCCCTATTTTGTATTTTATTTAGAGACAGGGTCTCACTGAGTTCCTTAGTGCCTCACCGTTGCTGAGGCTGGCTTTAAACTTGCAATCCTCTTGCTTTAGCCTCCCAAGCTGTTGGGATTACAGGTGTGTGCCACT